GCACAACATGCTTTAAAACATTATTTAAAATTGGCTTCGTTTTTTTAAAAAAAGAGTTCTAAAGTGCTGCCTTTAGTGTTCCCTGCCTTCCCTGAACCTAAGGGGAAAAAAGAAGGAAAATATCCCCCTCTAGTGGCAGAAGGCAGAATAGCAGCTTCCCATTAGTTTCTATGGACAGAAAAGAGCAGATACGGATTAAATGGTTTTCAATGCATTCCTATGGGAAATGCAGATTCGACTTAAGAACTTTTCGACTTGAGAACCACCTTCCAATACGGATTAAGTTCTTAAGTCGAGACCCCACTGTAGTGGGATATGGCAAACAAGCCCTATTACCATGAAGAGACTGAAGCTGAATGGGAGACGGCTGTGACATTTACCCAGTGGCCCGTTTGTTTCACCAAACACAGACCTCACAAAGGTATCCCAACACGCCCTTTAACACGTTGCCACCAGTTGATCCCTTCATCAGCCTATATTTCCTATGAAAGACCGAGGTCCACTCAGTACTGAACTTTTAAACAGAAACAGTTTTATTGATTACACGTGGTTTTAGGAATAGTTCTTAAGCACATTCTTAAAGTTACACAAAACTTCAATATTTTACTTTAACCTCTTCTATCTTAATTAATACGGGAATATATATGGAAAATGGTGCTTCGACTTACGACCATTTTGAGTTACAACCATCTTCTGGAACAGATTAAGTGCGTAAGTCAAGGCACCACCATATCTGAGAGCATGAATCTTTAAGGCTAAGAAACTTTACGTCATTGATACAAATCTTCTCGGCTGAGTTTTCCAATAAAATAGGATTGTACTAGACTAGGAAATGTTGTACAACTCTTGCTACAGGAAGGCCTGGGCTCTCTGCCAAGTCCGTTTTCTTAGCAACAGTGTTGTGGCGGAAGAAGCCTCAACTTCAACTGCTGATTGTTGTGCCTTATTATGCTGCACACAAAATAGCTTCTTAGGCAGACTGGAATTTCCACCTTCATGCTGGTGAAAATCCCTAGTCTTTTGAGTCTTACACTGAGCCCAAAAGTGACGTTTTCCCCCACACATATAAAACTGTTTACCAGCCTTGTGTTCAAAACAAAGGGCCTTATTAACTCTTCCCTCAGGAGTATTAGGTTTCAGATGACTGTGCTCTGGAGATGACGGCTTCCAGTAGCTTGGATACTTCTGAGGTAATCTCTACCAGGTGGGGGCTCTCTCCTCCTGTTGTCCCACAGGAGTTGTTCACTGTCTTCAGTTCCCCAGACCCGGGTTCAGAAACCCCACCACTAAGCTTTTTCATAAAAGCTCTAGCAGGTCACCCACTTCTTTACCACAGATCTCTGACTAAAAGGTACCCACTTTTCTACCAATTTTACCTCAGAAAAATGACCATATCTAATCTCACTGATGGAATCAGCATATTCAGATGCCTGCAATACATTTTTAGGATTTTTGTCCTTGACCAAATAATGCAATTCCCCAGGCAAAATGGAATAAAGTTGTTCTAAACCAACCACATTTTTCACTTGGTCTAGAGAAGTGACATTTTCACGTTCCATCCATTTGTCCAAACATTGAATCAATTCAGCCCCCACTTGGGTATAAGATTCTTCAAACGTTTTGGTAAGTGAACAAAATTTTCTTCTAAGGTGTTCTGCATTTATGCCAGATCTAGAATATACTATTTTTCTATATGCCTCAACATCTCTAGCTTGTTCCAGAAGCATCTGAGAATAAAGCTCAGCTAAATCTCCACTCAACACTATCATCCGTTCATCATCCTTAATCTTAAAGTCCCAGCATGTTCTCTCAAATGAAATCAGGAAAGATTCAGGGGCATCTCCTTTCCTATACTGTATTGTGGAAATTTCTTTAGGTTGATTTTTGAGAGATTTCCCTCACAAGAGTTTTTGTTATTATTATTTTGAGAGATTTCCCTCACAAGAGTTTTTGTTATTATTATTTTGAGCAGCTAATTCTAATTTTTTCATCTGTATTTGAAATTCCATTTGTCTGGCCTGAGCTTTCTCTCTCTCCTTAATCTCTGATTCCCTGAGCTGTAGTTCCTGAGCTTTCTCTTCAGTCCTAGCTTTAATTTCTAATTCCCTGTTTGTATTCTTGTTCCAACTTCCATTTTTCAAAATCTTGGGAGGTTAGAACAATTTGTCTTTCTGAGGCATTATCCATTTCCCTTCACTTCCTGAGGTAAACCTAGTGCCTCCTGACTCCCCTTTTGGCTGTTTGGCTGGCATGTTTAAGTCTGAGTGAATTAGTCTTTTATGTATGTACTGCTTTTAAAAGGACCTGTCTTTCTGCTGTATTCCAGCTCACAAGCTTTTAGTTACTGTGCCTCTATGTCTGAGCTACACTACGAACACCCTGCCATCTGGTGGCACGCAATTCCATAAGATAATGTTGAACAGCAGTACAGCCTCCCAAACTAGCCCTGTTTTCCCTCTGAAATCAACTGCTTTTTGCAGAAAGTATTTGAGTTCCGGGGTTACTATATTTGTGCAAGGCCAGCCACATAGATTTATAATAAGCATGAACGGTGAATACTCTTTTCCCTCTTGTAATGCTAGATTTGTCACCTAATGAAATTGACCAGAAATATATTTTCTTCAGGCAATGCCCAATTAACCCAAAAACTGAGGCTTTGTCAGATCATGGGGGGGGGGGGTGGCTCTTCAGATATCAGGAGGTGATGACAACCACTAGCTGAAACTAGCATCATGTAAGAGAAGCCTATTAGTTTAGGACTTCCAGTGGAGGGTAGGGAAAGGCACAGGACCCATCCAGATATTGAAGTGCTACTCTTATCAGGATGATGGGAGCTGTAATTCCATGATATCTGAAGAGCCACACATTCCTCCCTCCCTGCAATCTGACAATGCTTCAATTTTCAGGGAATATATTGTCCCCCAATAGAGGACATATTGGATATGAAACTGCAAAGAACAAAAACTACACTTGATCTTAGTCAAGCCGCCCCTATGTAAGCCGCCCCGAGTAGACATTGTCTAAAGGGGCGGGGTAAAAATCTAATAAATAAATAAATAAGGCTGAGAAGCTTTTCGGCTTTATGGCCATGATCGAGTGTAGTATCTCTTTCTGGCTAGCAGCATACAGAGAAGGAAGGCACATTGTCTTCATGCATTACCTGGACCACAACCTCTGCCGTTCTGGCTGGAGGATCCCAGGATCTGTTGTTCAAAAAGAAACTTTCTAAAGCACTGTGCCAGAAATGTAACTAGGCAGGTTGTTTCAGTCCAGCTAGTCTTGTGCCCTAAATAGGAACGTATGAAGCTGCCTTATAGGAGCTGCACACATACTGATGTGTCCATTTAATTAAATATGTTCTGGAATACAGGGAGTGCAAGAAGCTGTCCAAACATTAAGGATGTCATTCACAGCCTTGGCAGCTGATATCTTTTTATCTGGAGATGCTAGCAACTGAATATGGAAGCTTAAGGAAACATTAATGTCTACTGCTGCATTTATCATATTGTTTGCTAAAGGAAAGAGAAGGTGAAACTGCTTGCCAAATCTTGCCTTTAAAAAAGCATTTTACACAATAGTTCAGAGATCTACACCTTCTCATACAGGTAGTTGCATTGTGTCAGTTTGATTTGCCACAACAATTCTCTAAGGTGGAGAATCTTGCACTGATCTTGTTGTTCCTATCCAAGAGCACATTCTGTGCATGGACAAACTTACCTCAACAGTACAATGAGTTAATTTCTATCAGGTAATGGGAGGTTGCAGACTGCAGGTTATGCAGGCTAAGGTTGATGAGGGTTGTAAGTCTAGTAATATCTAGAAGACCACAGGTTCCCCAGCCCATGTTTCTACAAAAGGCAGCATTTCAAGGGTTTGCATGTTAATTTTTTTTGTACTTGGTTTTTAAACCCTGTAACTAAGGAGAAAAAGAACATGGCACCCCCAAAACTTCTCAGCTTCTTATACTACACTTGAAAGACACACCAATATCCTGTAAAATCTCTCACAACAAAAACACCACCACACATATTGAGTCAAGGTAATTTATGAAATATATTAAAAGATACAAATAAATACAAATATTTAAACATGAAGTACATCCTAAGAGGACTGAGCTAAAGGACAAACACAACAGCAGTTCTTTCAATCCTGAGTTGTGACAGCAAATATGAATTTAGCTCACTTTCTCAAGTCATGCTGCCAGAGAGTCACTGCTCAAATTCATAGCTCCCCAGTGGCAGAAGCCCTTGCATGGTGGAGGAATGACAACTCTCCCCTTTTCAATGTGCACTTCAAAGCCTGTGTGAACAGGCACCTGATCACACACAGACTTCAAGTGGGCAATTTACCTCAAAAGAGGAAGGGATACAGTGGGAATGGACACTGGCACACAGACCTGGGCTCATATATTCCTTGAAGTACACGCTAGACAAGCAGGATACTAGCTTGTTCCTCTCTCAGGCAGGGGCTCTCTCTTCTGTTAAGCCATGAACCATGAGGCATCTGCTACAGTTCTACTTTGATCCTCTTTCTCAATTTAATACAGAATAGTGCCTTACACAATGCTGCCATCTGCAGATGGAGATGGGACAGTTCGGCCCACCTCACGGTTCAAACCACACAACATCATTCACCAGGAGAATATTAATCATCTGGCTACAATGAGAATTATTAAAACCTTAACCAACCACAACCAATGCTCTTATCATAAGACATTTTGAAATTTCAACCCAAATACACCCCAGAGTGGGCTTTAAACTCAGCTATTAACTGTTCCCCTACAGAAAGCCAAAACAGCATACCTGACCTTGCAGCTTAACTTAGGATTTAAAATTTCCATTCAACTGTGGAGCTTCCACAGATGTTACTATGTTTTCAGTCACTCCTCACTGTCCTCCTGCGTTAAGTTCTTCTCCTGAAAGCTCCTCTGCCTGACTGCCATGAGGGAAGAGAATGGTCAGGTTTCAACCTCATATGTGCAAAAACCAAAATGTACTCATACATGAAACAAACCTTTCATTTCTTAACAGCCACCTCATCCTATAAACACAGTGTAAGAATCAAAACACGTGCACAAGATGTGGGAAATAGGTTCAGAAACATCACATCCCAAAACCACCAACATTTATCCGGCTCACCCGCTAGATCCCAAACTCTTCCTTAGTACATTAACCGTTCTCTAGTCTGCGAAACATCTTCGTAGCTGATGCTGGGATTTGTTCTGGAGGCCTGTAACTTCTTATTTGTGCAGATATGCATCCAGCCAGATCTCTCCTGAATCCTTCAGAGAGCTGTGAGACAGAGCAGACCTTTAATTACATGTGGAGAAAGGACACTGTATTTGTTGCATCTATAGATAAAGTTTCAAAAAGGTTAATTTCTTCTTCTGCCTCCCCCTATGTAATAAGGTCTTGCTATTTTATCCTTCTTGGATCAAAGTACAAAGAAATATTCCATACCCAGTCACATGGGCTGCCTAGAAAATCTTCAACTAAATCGACGGAGATAGCATTTAGCCTGTTTTGAGGGCGCAGGGGAGAGGAACTGACATATTGTAAAACGATGTTGAAAATTACATCAAGTTCATTTTACATGTTGTAGAAATGTCTAGAGAGTTCAACCATGGCAGCCAAAAGCACCTGAACTGAAAAAAATTGATGAGGGAGCGATAAATAAAGCAAGCTTATAAGGGTGCAACGACATTGGCAAGTAACAAGGGAAATGCTCCAGGACTGGGACAGTCTGATTTGCAGTAGTTTCCATTGATGCGATGATGTAAAAGTCACTATGAATCAGCCTGGAGTGTTTTTTATTTCCTCCACCACTTGGGCTTCTACATTTTTGAAATTACATGCATTTGTATCAGTTCAGGTGGTATGAGCATACAGAGGGGTTCACAGCTGTTGCAGTTATAGTCATTCCTGCCAACTACGGCCGCAGGGCAGCCGGGAACCTGGCTGCCATTTGAATTCTCTCCTCCCCGCACTTGGTGCCTGGGTCCACTTTCATCTTCCTTTCTTGTTATCTTTTCCCTGCCTCCAGCTTTCTTTTCTTTTAAAGCAATGATTCCCAACCTTGGGTCCCCAGATGTTCTTGGACTACTACTCCCAGAAATCCTGGCCAGCACAGCAAAGTGGTGAAGAAAGCCTTCTGGGAGTTTCAGTCCAAGAACATCTGGGGGCCCAAGGTTGGGATACAATGGACCCTCTACTTACGGAATTAATCCGTACTGGAATGGTGGCTGCAGGTCGAAAAGCCTGTAGGTCGAGTCTCCATTGACCTACAATGCATTGAAAACAGATTAATCCTGTAACCGGCCGTTTTTGTTCCATTTTGGCTTTTTTCTGGTCTGTAGGTCGATTCTCTGGCTGCAAGTCGAACCTGTCTGTAACTCGAAAAGTCTGAAAGTCAAGCCATCTGTAAGTCGAGGGTCCACTGTACCACTGTTTTAAAGGCTTGCTGTCCCAGTACTAGCACAGCTGGCTGATCAAAAGTAAAAAAAGAATTGGAGATAGAGGAGGAAGTTTTAAGACAGCTGGGCTCTAATCATGCATTCTGCCAATCTGAATGGCCAGAGCATAGTTACCTTAAAACCCTCCTCTCTCTCAGATTCCTCACTCTTTTTTCCCCCTCTAGTCAGCCAGTTGCCCTAGCACTTCCAAAAAACAGTGCCATCTCTCAGCTCTCATTAGGAATACAGTCAGTGGATATGAAAGGCAGGGTTCATTCTGGGGCATGAACAACACAGAAGCCCCTGGCTGAGACGAGTAAAAGGTTCTTTTCCTGCTTAATTTCTAAGGGTGTGTGACAGAAGGTAAAGATACCTTTGCCTGTAACAGGGAAGGAACAGGAGGACATCACTGAGCAGAATACACGTTGTCACCCCATTGGCACTGGTCAAGTGAGGCATCAACGTAATTCACCATTAACTGTTTATTAATGCTGTCGTATTTCTAGCCCCTTTTCTCCATACTTATTTATTGCATTTTGCCAAATGACAGTTCACAATGTTCACAGTAAGCTGTACTTACTGCAAAATGTCGGCAAAGGCTGTGAGCAGGGGCTTGCTTTGATATGCAATGCCATACTTGGCACACAGCGATTGTACCAGGGGAGCCACCTTCCAGTAGTTGTGGCGAGGCATGGTGGGGAAAAGGCTGGAGGGAGACAAAAAGGCATGAGGTGGTTCAGTTAAATCGTAAGTACTGGTCCCCTTCCTTTAAACCCCCAGACCACTTAGGCTGATCTCATCAGCTCCATGAAACCACACATTGGGAATAATCCAAAGGTGTCTGTTGTCCTGACTGTCTTGCTTACTGATGCTCAATCTGGAAATTCAGGTGGCCAGTGAACCAGTCATTGAAGGGGGACTGTTCCACGTTGCAGGTTGCCTGGAGCTGTCGGAAAACAAGAAAGGACGGTGAGGATGTCCTTATTTTTTGCACTCCAAAGGAGACTACACCTACATGAGACATCAACAGGCATCGATTCCTCCTGATTTTTTTCCAGTTTGGTTTTTAGGAGGCATGTTGGTTTTAAGCAAAGTGGTTTTTGACACTCTCAGCCTGAGGAGCTATACCATGTTACCTTGCTAGCCATCATCTGGATCTTACGGAAGCCATGTTATATCTTGCATATTTTGGAAAAATCAGATATTCACTTTTTTTTAAAAAAAGTCTACACTGGGATGGTTCTTCAGAGTTTTAGATGGGAGGATTTCCTAGCCTCAAGACATCAGGAACTCAATCTGAGGCCTCCTGCTAACAGGCCACATGCTCTGCTAATAAACTGTGGCCATCTCTGCTTTCTTAGTCTTCCTGTCTTTCAGTGGGTGAAACTTCCCCATCCCAATTTAGCCAGTCTTCCTCCAAGCTTTTCTGAAGATCTCTCCAAGAAAACTTGGGCTTTAATTTATAAGAGTCTTGAGTCTTCTTCATGTCAGAGAAGTCCAGCATGGTGGACTCCTCCATCAACACCAACTCCAAGCTTCCAGTTTCCTTCTCCCTCTCCCAGCTTTCTTATACAGTGGGGTCTTGACTTGAGAACTTAATCTGTATTGGAAGGCGGTTCTCAAGTCAAAAAGTCTGTAAGTCAAGTCTCCATTGACCTACAGTGCATTGAAAACCGATTAATCCTGTAACAGGCCATTTTTGTTCCATTTTGGGTTTTTTTTTGGTCTGTAAGTCAAATCTCAGTCTGCAAGTCAAACCTAAATTTTGCGGCCAGAGAAGTCTGTAACTCAAAAAGTCTGTAAGTCAAGCCGTCTGTAAGTCAAGGGTCCACTGTATATTGTATACTACATTGTGACACTGGAGAAAAGGGACATTCAAAGAATCCAGTGAGATACTAATTATGTTTCACAATTCCTTTAAGACCTTTCTATTTCAGTAGGCTCTAAGTAAGCCTGATTTGTTCTCCCTGAATTCCCTATGTACTTTTAAAAATCTACTGCTGTCTTCTGCTTTTATGTTCATTCTTAAGTAGCTGCTATTAGAACTCTACATAAGCCACCATGGGTGCTGCCACTGTACTGCAGTAAAAGGTAAAGGTAAAGGTTCCCCTTGACAATTTTTGTCCAGTTGTGTTCGACTCTAGGGGGCGGTGCTCATCCCCATTTCCAAGCCATAGAGCCAGCGTTTGTCCGAAGACAATCTTCCGTGGTCACATGGCCAGTGCGACTTAGACACGGAACGCTGTTACCTTCCCACCAAGGTGGTCCCTATTTATCTACTCGCATTTACATGCTTTCGAACCGCTAGGTTGGCGGGAGCTGGGACAAGCGACGGGCGCTCACTCCGTCGCGTGGATTCGATCTTACGACTGCTTGGTCTTCTGACCCTGCAGCACAGGCTTCTGCGGTTTAGCCCGCAGCGCCACCACGTCCCCACTAGTAGTAGTACTGCAGTAGTAGCATATAAATGTTTACTATATGTAACTACAAGGGCATATCCAGCATTTCCATGGGTCTGCCTGTAGTGAAGGCATCTGGACACGGTCCTGGGCCCTTATGAACACCCTGTGGGGTGTGTTTTTGTGTATATACTTGCATGTTTGTGTCAGGCTTGATAGCCCAAGGAGCGCCAAAGTGGATGAAGTTTTTATCCCAAGTTCCCTTGCAATTTTCAAATGTTGCACTGACATGTTCCAGAAAGTGTCTGTGAGAGAGTTCAGAAGCCTATGCTATGAGCAGTAAGAAACAGCTTACCTGCATAGAGACCCAATCCATGTTTTTATCATAATCAATATTCATAGGGATGTGGTTCATTTGTGAAACCCAGGTAAACCAGCATGATTCTAAAAGCCTGTAGAGAGAAATGCATACAGACAAATGTCACAAAACCCACTGAACATAATGTAGCAGTGGGTGTGTTGACCTGCAATCTATTTAGCAAAATCCAAGATAATCATATTCCGATTACATGTTTGTTAAGGAGCATTTCACACATTTATTTGTTTGTTTGTTCGATTTCTATCCCGCCCATCTGGTATATTTGACCACTCTGGGCGGCTACATGACAGTAGTAGAAACATTGCCATGAAGACAAGCACACATTATAGTTGGAAGGAACATGCATTTCATCATAATTTGAGATGAATTATGAACCAAAAAGCAATGGAACGCAGGAAAACAGCAGAAGCAAAGGCATTTGTGCTCCCTGCATACCATATAGGACAAGCTACATGTGTTTCTACTAATGCTAGAAGCAGTGAGGTTCGCTGAAGGAAACTCAGCCTAGCTCCTGCAGAAGTAAGAGCTGCCAAGCCCTTAAGAATACAGTACTCTTGAGAATAACAAACATCCAGACCAGGGAGGTCCAACAGACATGTGACTCTTAGAAAAGCTGAATATCCTTGGCAGTCATAGGATGCAGAGGAAGAGTTCTTTTGTGGACTGGTAGTAGCTCCGAAAATGGGAAGTAGAGTTTAGGAATGAGCAGTGCTCAAAATGGAATGAAGGAAGAAACAGAGTCCTCTAGGGACCTAATGCTTTCACATACATGAAATCTTTCTAGGTCCTTCCATAGATGTCATTTCATAAATGACAACATTTATCCACTCAAACAGCAATCCTATGCTCTGTATTGGGAGTTCTCCAAAAGCAGAGCTACCCCAGGCCCTGCTGGCTTCTCAGATTCTTATCAGCAGCCTTGAAGTGCAGAGAGATTGCTGTTTGTACCTTACCCATGCTTCACGTGTTGAACAGCATTTTAAATAAATGTTTTCCCTCTCTAAATTTATAAATGTTTTGATTTGTTTTCAGTCACAAAATCTCACATTTCCAACAAGTTTATTGAGTTTCACAGGTCTGAATGTTTATCAGAAGAAGGTATAACTTAAAAAAGTTATAAATACAAATCTAGATTACAGGGGACAATACAGACTGGGAGATTCTGGCAGCTGCAGTTTGGAAAAGCACCTCTTTGAGGCTCTGTCAGCAAGCAAACACATGTGAGGGGTAAAGCAGGGCTAGCTGGCGGAGAAAGGAGAGCAAGCAGTTGGGCCAGGCAAGGAGAGAGGCTGAGGAACCAGGGAAGGATCTGGAAAGATTTCATTAAAACACCCCACAGGAAGATCCAAATTATTAGTCCAAAGTTTTATTGGTCTGATGGAAACTGTTTCACATTGCTGCTTTTAATTAACTGTTTTTAAAATTTATTTTAAATCTTTTATGCTATACATATAAGTTGCTTTGAGAAAACTACAAGTTTTTAAGAACTGAAGTAATCAAATGCACATTTTCCAATGGGAATAGCATGTGCTTAGCTTCCCACTCCTCACATTTTAAAAAGCAATAGCTTTTGACATTCACAAGAACTACTGGGGGACAAAAATAACAATTCCTTCAATGATGAGCATCTTGTTTATTAATCCCCACATCCTGAAAACTTTCTTCAGACTTCCATTTAACTTATTTCCTATGAGTTATGTCCCACTGCAGTGAATGGCACTTATTTCTGAGGAAACAGATTCAGCATCTCACTTTTAAGGTGAAAGTTAGCAAAGGAGGCTCATGTTCACCTTTGCCACGGAACCCCGCTAAAGGTAAAAGCAAATATTCAATTCCAGTTAAAAAAAGGTTTACAATTAAGCAATGATTAACCCAATGAAATGTTATGAAAGCTACACATGAGGAAATGTTGGTTCCTATTGTCTTCTTTCTTGCACAATTCAAATTACAGTTGTGGGAAGCCAAAAACCACCAGAGGTCAGTGCCTAGTGACAAACCAAGATTCTTGCAACATCTTTCCTGGATCTTTTCCTCCAGCTGTACATTACAGGCCAAAACATTTCTGGCCAAACCAGGACCCACAATACAGCATTAAACATGGTAGCCAGCCACCCTGCTGTCACTTTGGCAGCACCATTTATATGAGTCCTGAAGACTCTAGAACTGAGCCACTTAGCAAAGAAGCAGCCAAGTTCTTTCAGTGTGTAATGTATGGCAGAAAACTGGCTCCAGTTCTTGAAGGGCTGCTATGTTTCCTATTGCTCTACAGCAGCGTTCCCCAACCTTTTTCAGTTTGCGGACCAGCTGGGGAAGGTGGGGCACCCCCCCGTTCATGTGCAAACAAGCGCACACTCTCGCACACTCATGCACAAACGGTGGCACGGCACTCGCTTGGGCGTGCTGGAGCATGTGCAGGCACAAACAGGCTGTGCGGGGGTGAGTACATGTGGGGGATGGGGCGGGAGGTCTGTCTCGGCAGCCCAGTCCAGGTCAGGCCACGGACTGGCACTCGGCTGTGGACCGGGGGTTGGGGACCTCTGCTCTAGAGAACAAACAAGAACAAACAAATGCAAAACTACAGGGAAGATTCTGGCAAAGAACTGAAGGAACGTCATATAACTATTCAATAATGGAACAAACAGCCTCTCTGAAGAGGATAAGCTAGCCTTAGTTGAAGGTACCGATACGGTGGCTGGACTGCCATCTAGCAGGAATACTCCATGGCTGCATCCTGCCTTGCACATCCTATATTCAGCAGGAAATTGAACTAGATCACTATCCTGCTACAGCCCAGCCAAAGTCTTCTGCATACGTTTCTACAACAAAGCTTTTCTACATGTGATAGACATTTCCAACTCCAGTGTCATATTTAATTCTCAGGTTATGTGAGATCCAGTATCACAAGTAAGAGAAATGAGAGAATCGTAAGAGTTAGAAGGAGGCACAGTTTGATTATTACCTGGAGAGCCAGTAGTAAGCCATAAAACATTTAAATCCCATTAGGGGAACGTAGATAAAACAGACTCTGATGTTGTAGGACACAATCAAGGCTAGGTCCTGCCAAAGGAGAGAGGAAGAAAGGGTGATCTTTACCAAAACAGACCCATGGCGTGAGCCTGTGTACAAATCAACTCACTCTAGGCATGTGCTTTTGGATAAGGGGAAGCATACTTACTAGCCATTCTTTTCGCTTGATTGAAGAATAGAATATGGACAACTGGAAGAAGGGAACTAGCAAAGTTGGGGCCATGACTATTGAAAATAAAAAGAAGAGTACATGGTTTAAAACAAAACTTTTGGGGAAAAAATACAGCTATTGTCTTCCTTCTGTGAACTGCCTTTGGCTCCCTTGATGTATTCGATAATAAATTCCCTGTCTTTCTTCCATGCAGTTTACAGTTCTCTCCAAATCTAAGAACTTCTTATCTGAGTCAAGTGGACAGAATGACATACAGCAACATAAAATACCGACCGTATCCTTCTTGTACTTCCAAATGTCTTTTCTCATGCCACACTTTCTTACTCTCAGATGCTTGTATCATTACAATTTTAATTAAACCTACATCTCAAGAACTGGGTTACAGCCATTGTTAGGAAAACAGACCTTTGCTCTCGGAAAAGGAATTTCCTTTCTCCTCCTCCTCCCTGCAGCTTCCTGTGTATCCCCAAATCTATGTTAGAGAGTCTCCCATTTTCTCAGGGCAGATTTGAAGTGCACATAGGAGGAGGAAGGGAAATTGATCCAGCAGTGATGTGTGTTAAGCTGGCAGAAGGACACAACCCACAACGGGCAGTTACTTTGCATCCTTTGATTTTCCGACTCCACTTACTAGGATGTTGTGATTGGTTCCTTTCTTACGCCTCCTGAATAAGAGGCACTTAATGAGTGGAAACTTTGCAGCATTTCTTAATGACAAAAATACTTACTGAAGAAGTACTTATGTTGGTAGTTGTAAGGCATGAACTTCTTCTTCCGCATCCCGAGCTGCAAAGAAATATTTATTCAGCAACTCATACACAATAAAGACAGCTCCATCACCTGTTTTTGAATCATTTATTTATTTATAACCAGCCCTACATCAGCAGATTTTAGGGCAAGTAACTTTAATGGCCACTTAAGCCATACAAACAGTTCAAACAATGAAAAGCAATCCAACTTAAAAAAAAAACCCACAGTATTACAGATGGAAAACCAAGCCATGATTTCATTAGGCTCCAAACCATTGGCTGAACAGTCAGGTTACTGCAGACCTTTAAAGGGAAGACATTCCACATCCATCTACGGAGTGGCACCTGTTACCCTGGAACAAGTACTCTAATAAGAAAAAGGAGCAGGAAAAAACAAAACAAAACAAAAAAACTCACCTCTCCTGGATTTTACTCTGCTATCGTTCCAGTGCCAGTGAAGTGCGGCAGGCCCTAGTGGGATCTTTCGATAGCATATGCCTTACTGTTTTCAGTCACCACCATGGCTTGGACGGGTATGCACCATGTTTTTATCACTGAAGTGTTTATCAAAAACAACTAATCTGTGATCACAACACAGAGAGCTTTTCGTATTCTCTTCGTGCTCAGTCAAAATGTTCCTGTTCCAGACTGAAAAAACCATATTGCTATGGACTGAAAATTTCAGGGCTACAGGTTCCATGTGAGAGCCACGGTGGCAACTGGAAATAGTAAGGCATATGCTACCGAAAGACCCCAGTACAACCCACCCCACTTCACAAGCACCGGACAAATAGCTAAACAAAATCCAGGAGGGTGTGTTTGGCTGCACCCTGTATGTACTGACCAGTTTTACTCTGGGTTTTGCCAGGTTTGATCTAATAATGGATGCATGGAAATTAAAACTAAATGTACAGGTAGCTCAGTGGGTTAGGTGTCTGGCTGTGGAGCCAGAGGATGGGAGTTCGATCCCCCACTGTGCCTCCTTGACAGAGGCTGGATTCAATGATCCATAGGATCCCTTCCAGCTCTGCAGTTCTAAGATTAGATTAGATTATTATATATCATTACCTTACAAAAACACATACCTCAATGTTTTTCACTTTGTCAGGGAGGTGACCAATTAAAATAATCTATCATCAGAAAGTTATTTTGTTTATTACATTTATAACCTATTTTTTTCTGCTCACTATGCAGCATTTTTGGTGAATTTCGCACACATATGCACACACACACACCAGCAGCTGCCTAATGTAATAAATAACTTATTCAGTTTTGTATTCCTTCTGGCTATTCCTCCCAAACTCGCATTAATAATTGTACTCTGCATAAATACCTCTGCTGCCAGTTTTTTCCCCAAAGCAAACACAATGGGATGCATATTGAGATCCGGGTCTTTACGAAAGCAGTTAGGTTTGGCATGGTGCTGGAAATGCAGATAATTCCACCACTGGGCTGGCATTCCCTAGAAGAAAGGAGAAAATGTGGTCTTAACAGAATAGAATTTGAGCCCACCTGCTCAGAAGCAATAAGCTCTTCCTTTTTAGCTGGCAGGCTCTAGGAGTTTGGGCCTTTGTTCCAGTTCCCAGAACCCCCTGGTCTGAGGGCGTACCAGCTTCTCACAAGGAAAATGGAAGTGACAAGATGGTCACAATCAGAGAAGGAAACAGAGAAAATTCTGTGTTTTTAATTTTTTTAAAACTGAGTAACATGTGGGGGGGGGGCTGCTTTGTTTTAGAGATTAGTACCTCCTGAAGCAGGAATGAGTAAACTTTAAAGGTCTGAGGAATACCCAAACCCAACCCCTGGCCCTAGAGGATCATACCTGCCTACCTTAAAAATATTCTTCTTTTTAAAAGACTTACTTTACTAAATAACCCCTTTATGCTTGCTAGGGGCTCATTTTTTAAGATTTCTAATTTGTGGGATGGGGGAGACTCAGTGATGCTGAGCCTCCTCCTAAAATATGGCAATCAAACTGGAGAGATAGGAAAACAAATTTTGTCATCAGGAAGACGCAGGGAGAAGGCAAAACGGCCTTGGAGGGAGCTGCATGACTTTTCGAGAAGGAAAGAGAGCTCATGTGGTGTAGTGGGTAGAGTGACAGACTAAGACTCAGGACCCCAGGGTTTGAATCCTAGCATGGGCATGGAAACTCAAGAGTGTAGCACAGGTACAATTTCTCAAATATCTCAGATACTTTGAAAACACTATTAGGATTGCTGGAAGTCAGATGTGACTTGACAGCACAAAACAATAGCAATGTGAAGGAAAAGATATGTACTTACTTTCACTAGGCTCATTAGGAGCTTATGAACCACTCGATTCCATTTGGATGTCCTAAGGACTGAAAGGTGCCCCAAGTCATGCTGGAACCAGGACATTTGTGTCTGTAAGAAAGAAAAAAAATCATTTCAAAAACATGGCTCTGGTTCACTGCTGCCCAAGTAACACAGGATGCAAAACATAATAAAAAGATATTCCAATTAGTCAAAGATTCTTAGCGCCTAGCCAAATGAAATATTATAAAATAAGAGTGAAGGAACTGTATTGTTTCAATAAAACATACTTAAAATTAGCAATAGTTTGTCCAGGTTTGAACACAATATTAAACTGGCTTTAGTTAAAAATAGGTGTAAAAACTTCACACCTCCTCTTCCAGGCTGGCCAGAAGAAGAGATGGCGAGGGGACAGCTAACAAGCCTGAAGCTCACTCGTATTAGAAGGGCAAGTAGCACAAAGCAGCAGCTAAGTTGACTTGTAAAATCAGTCCTGAAAAGTAGAGTGGCCAGCAAAGCCATCTCCACCCAAAAGAAATATAGAATATTCCATATTCTAGGACAAAAAGAAAGCTCTTACTTATTAAAGAAACGTATTGAGTTAGGAAAGGTAATACAAATCCTAACTGTGGTTAAAAAAGATGGAAATGCAGGGAATTGTAACTTTCTCAAGAACGATAGCATGGCATCTCCTCTGTCTTCCCGAGAGGATAAATAAGGAAATGTGAGAAGTAAGGGACTTGAACAGCCCTAAGAATATCAATGTAGGTTGAACGAAGGTCAACACAAGGCATAGCTGATAAAGGTCCCCATGCAAAGACATGACTCTTCTTTAGTGAAAGGTGAATTGCATCCAATCACCTCCAACATCTCTTCTCAATGAAGCTTGCATGTAGCCTGTGAGTTTCATCTTGCCTCAAAACTTTAGATGTTGGATCTTGCTGAATTGTTTTTGTCAATAGGGATGTGCCATTTGGCTGTCTTGAACTCCAAATCCCAGAATTCTCCAAGAATCCCACAGGCAAAATTCTAGGACTTCCAGTTGACAGAGCTACGCCTACAGACACCTACAGTTTACTCACCTGGATTAGGGCCTAACTCCAAAGCTGCATAGCCTTGCTCGCTTCCTGTTCTGCAAAAGAGAAAGCTGCCTCAGTGCTTCCTGGGAGTGGTAGTTCTCCAAGAAGCACCCTCTATAGAGCCTAAAGCAGTGCTTCCAAACCTTGCTTTCCAGATGTTCTTAGACTACAACTTTCATAAATCCTGGCCAGCACAGCTCCTAGTGGTGAAGGCTTGAGTCCCCACGTATTCTTGGATTAAAATTCTCAGATTCAGAAATCCTGGCCAGCACAGCTCGTAGTGGTGAAGGCTTGAGTCCCCACGTGTACTTGGATTAAAATTCTCAGACTGGGAACCACTGGCCTAAAGACAGGAATACCACTCCCCAGAAACACTGCAGCAGCTTCCTTTTTTGTACTGTATCAGAGGAAACAAGGCTGGTCCAGGTGAGCAAATTATAGGTGTGGGTCTGTGAGCTGAACTCCCAAAATTCTCCCTAGAGAATTATGAGACTGGAGTCAAAAATGAACAGATGTCACATCCCTATTGGTCAGTCATCAGTTGTCATCTCTTCAGTTGGACCGAAGTCTAAATCTCTTGCTTTCAGTTTGTATAGCAGCTACTCCTCCATAGCAAAACAGGTTTCCACTCATTGAGTTGTGATCAGTGGTGTCAACATCCACATATTCTACAAGTTTGAGATCTTTGGTTGCCTTAATTTCAGGTGTGTGGTATTCTTCAGATATCTCGTTGCTCTTCTGACTGCTCCTCAGTCTTTCTTGGTCAGTGAACTGATCTTCCTATATAAGTATTCCACTTCTCCCTCCACAACTAGCCTTGTAACAGTAATTAAGTACAGCTTTCTTCCACTGCCATTTTTATGTTAAAGAAATGTTTGTGCAGTGATAGGATATGGCCCCATCCTTGTCTTGTATGTGCTGCCAACACTTCTCTTCAAATACCACATATCTGAATAGACACAAGCTGGTTATCACTAATCAGAGACATTATAATGCCTTTGACCACTTGGTCTTTCCTCGCCAATTCAGCTCTTCGTTCAGGTGTAGTTTCCTTTAGAGGGGGTGTCCCTTGTTATGACATCAAGGAATGTTGAGGTGCAGTTGCATACAAAAACCTCACTGGGTATAAAGGCTGTCTGTCAGACATGGAGTTTTCCTTGCTCCATCATAACGTCTAATGTCTTCTTTTTCTATCTGCCCTGCAATCTTTCTCTTTTTTTGTTTTTGGAAACAGCTCTAAATTTTAGTCTGGTTTCAGCTATTTGGGGCTCCTCAAAAACCACACCTCTCAACCTCTGCTTGCTCAATAATCTGTTATTTTGTGGGTTCAGGGTCCCTAAGCTGCTGGCATAGCAAGCAGCATCAAGCAGCAGCTGAATCAAGGCACAGACGCAGGCCCTGAAAATTGGAATGGTTAGCAGAACACACTCCCTTTCCTCCGAAGACTGCTAGCATTATCACAGACGTACATGGAGATAAGATGATAGGAATCATAACTGTAGCTGACCAAGGTGGAGATGCAGAAATCTATGGTTGCCCCCTCACCTCTTAAGAACAAAAGCAAGATACCTCCTCTGTCCTTTCCCACAGAGGTTCAAGAGAGAAATGTGGGAAAGAAAGAAGCAGCCTTAAGAATATCTGTTTAGGTTGAAAGAAGATCAGTGTAGGTCAAAGCAGGTAAAGGACATGCTAGCAAACCTGAGGTTCTTCTCCCTCCCTCCCTCTCTTCTTCTCCATGCAAAGATATGCATCTTCTCCAGTGTAAGTTGAGTTTCACCCAGTTACTTCCAACAACTTATACATCACGAAACCACATTCAAATCCAAACAGCGAGTAACAGGCACGTAGCAATTAGTCTTAAAACCAGCCACAACTCTTTCATTCTCCAGATACTGTTTATTACATTTATAACCTATCAAAAAACCAAAAACAAACAAAAACAAAACAAAACAAAACCACAAGTGACAGACTTGTGGAATTCTTAAAATCCTTGGTAATGTGTGTGTGTGGGGGGGAGACCTTAATTTCAAAGATGAGATGATGACTTCGACACTCTACCTGAGCGACAGTAAACAGGGCAACACCTACGAGAAAGGGCAACAAGGATGACCCAAAGTACCAGATAGTAAACCAGGCAGCAACATCCAACACTACGATGTGAAGAAACATGAGGAAGAAGAAAAGGCTATTTGGCTTCAGAAGTCCCATTTTCTCAACAGTGGATCGCAGCTCCCGGAAGTCATTAATGAGCAATTGCTGTGGAGGAATCAGAAGAAAAGCCTCTTTTGATCCTGGTGAAAAATAGTACAATCTGTTAAGTATACAGTGGTGCCTTGCTTGACAACGTTAATTCGTTCCAATGAAATCGCTGTAGAGCGAAATCATCGTCAAGCGAAATAAAAAAACCCACTGAAACGCATTGAAAACCGTTCAATGTGTTCCAATGGGTGAAATACCTGCTCGTCCAGCAAAGATCCTCCTTTAGGCGGCCATTTTCTGGTGCCTGTAATGTGAGGAATCTGTCCCTAACACAGCGGGAACCCATTTTCTACAGCCAGCGGTCATTTTAAAACCCGACGACCAGCTGTTTACTGATCGCCTTAAAGCGAAAAATCAGTTCCCAAAGCAGGGAACCGATCAACGTTAAGCAAAATTCCCCCATCTAAATGTTTTGCGATTGCAAAAACTTCAATGTTAAGCGGATTCGTCGTCAAGTGGGTAATCGTCCAGCAAGGCACCACTGCATATGTATATATATGTGCAAAGACATGTAATGTAAGTGCTGTTTTTATTATTTACTGGTCAAAATCTTGTTCTGTAAGTTACACCTTCTTAAGGGCCATGCTATCACCGGCAGAAGGAGATTGCCTGTAATCAAAGAGTTGCTTTGATCCTGAGGCTCACTTGACCTGAGCACAAGATCGCAGGCAATTTGGGATTGAGGCAGAAACTCTTTAATTGGTGGAAAGCACTCTTATTTAAGCGTAATTTACAGAACAAGAGTTTTGGTCATTAAATTTGTGGATTTTTTTTCAGAACAAAAACACACATACAAAACTTTAGGAATCTTACGTATAAAATATGCAAAATGCTGAAAAGAACTAAGAGAAAGAAAGTACAGTTTTAGTCCCTCACCAAAGATGGAAGGCTGTGTGATAAAACATGTCTCTACTTTTGTTCTTCAGTTGTTTTTCTCATTTTTAAAATGCAGAATACATGATATAGCTGTAAAGTACTAAGCCACAAATCCTGCTATGAAAAAGCAACTTCTATCGAGATCCTCCTTACATAAGAAGCTTCTAGAACTCATTGTCCTCACATCTACAATGAGTTGTGTCAGTAAAGAAAAAACACATTCATAGGACTACATTTTATGCTTCAGGTTACATGGCTTATGTAAGGCTGATTTGTGGCCAGAGCAATGGAGATGCCTTAACTCAAGAGTTTCAGAATGATCTGTACTCCCTGCCCTAGGCTGCTCATGAGCTAATGTTACATTTAATTACTCTGTATGCATACTTACAAAATTTTGGCAAAACATATGGATAATAAGACCTGCAGTGTTTCCTGAAGCGAACTCTTCTCATTTTTATGACAGATCATTAGCCCTATCACTCCCAAACCACAGTTTTCATTTTTTTAAAACTGCAGTGGTAGCAACCCAACTTTGAAAGGGTTAGATGCTAGAAAGCCTCTCCAGGTTTGAACTGTTGTTCTTATGTGCCGTCAACTTGCTTCCAAGGCATGGTAACTCTAATAGGATTTCTAAGGCATGCAAGATGTTCAAGGAATGATTTACCATTGCTGCCCTCTAAGCTGTTTTCTTTTTCAGGGTGCAATTGAACATGAAAGGTGGAGTTGGAAAACAAAACTGTGCAGTTGGAAACTGATAGTGATTAATTTGGAAGAAACAGGCTGGCTCTAATAATGAGGCATCAGGGTTTATCAGTTTCCAACTGTACAAAAAACTTTTTCCAACTGTACATATTATGTCCAACTGCAATCTAAAAGACAAGACAAAGTGACTTTCAATGACCTTGCAAAGGTCTGAGTCTGGGTCACACAAGTCCTAGCTGGATGCTCTGTCCACTACAGCATTCTGGCCTGTAAGTAGTCAGTCTCCTCATTACCTAGAATTGCTTCTAAGGAACCAGACTTGAAAATTATGGAGACATTTTCTTCTTCTTTCCTTTTAGCACCCAAGTGACAAAGTAAACCAAGTAGTCAAATGGGCTACAAAAAACTTTTGCAATCAAATAATGTCTATTTTTTGCAATGTTAAACCAATAACACAGTTCTGTCAAGTTAATTTGAAATACCTCGATTTCTGAATCCGTTACACCTAAAGTGAGTTTGACTATTCAGCTAGTGAAAGACCTTTTTAAAAATTTCAGAGCTACCCATAATCATTCAATGAAAATGAAATGATGTACAAAGTCATAATCACAGAAGGTAAACATGGCGTTTGAGGGATTCTGGAAGTTGTGGTCAGCCTATAGTAAATTATGGAAAGACTCTATATTTTAGGCTATTAAGGTCTCAGAATCTAAGTTTCTATATAGCAGATTACAGATAACAAGCAATGGAAACATCTGAGTAATTTACAACCCATGCCTGACAATAGGATGTACATCATTGTTCAGGACAACAGTTATGAACATACAATGTTTTCAGAATGTTATTAATATAGAAAGGAAATCTGATTTCTCTCTTGTTTTCCACTACACAAAACCAAAAACTATAAAATGTATATTGTTTCCTATTTCTAACATTTTATCAACACTCACATTTTTGCCAGGCTCAGAACTAGGCTGATCTGGTGCTAGTTCCCCTATCAGAAGCGAATTCAAGTACTTGCTCACTTGATCTTTATGAAGATGGAAAGCTGTGAATGCATCCTGGGACAGAAAAGAAATCACAAAATGAAATGAATGAAAAACTTTTTAAAAAGCCTTGATGGTGAAGGATTAAAAATGACTTTAAGGTTCTGGTTCCACAAGATGATGTAACCCCCATTTTTGTGGGGGATGAGGGCCCCATGTACCTCACAAGCCACATACAGTATGCCTATTTCCATTACAGGCTGAATAAATACTGATGCAGTCTGATTTTCATTTATTTCCAATAGTTTAGTAGCAGTATGTAATAGTCTAAGACCTAGGTTACTTTCATTTTAATGCCTATTGTTTCTCTATTAATTTGCATTAATCCCGTAAATGTGAACTGAGAAGCTAAGACCACCTGCAATTTAATTTTTCAGCACTGGCCCATACTGGAAAGATCCTCTATATGTGGCATTTGCGTTGTTTTCTATATACAGTAGTTCTAACTGGAAATATTGTACTATGAAACACACTCCCTTCCCATTCTGTTAATAAGATTCCATGTATCTCCTAAAGCATTAGATGTCTGTACTAGACAAGATCTTTCTAGTTTTTCTAGTTTTTCCATGTTCCATCTTTCTCTCTCCATTCTACTCTACCCACCCACCCTACTATTTCATGGATATCTTAACTGACTCAGTCATACCCCATCTTCGAGACATGTGTGATCATGCATTCACACCCCATTCCTCCTCATGCACATCTTTCTTGCCTTAAGCATGATGAACACTTTCTGCACATAGCATCTGCAATGAACACTACATGTAGGCACATACTCTCTTCACTACAAATCTCTAGTCTTTAGCCTCATTCTGCATTCATAGAGAGCAAATAACCAAGAGGCTTTACAATATTGGCAGAGACACAAAGACAGTTATGTTTCTCTACAGGAACTTGAATTGCAAACTAGGAAGCTTTAATTCCTGGATGCCATAGGGATACCCTGTTGAAAAAGAAATAAAATCAATTATTTCCACAAGAAGCAAAATTTAGTTCTCCTTCTCTGCTGACTCAGTCCATTCACATTCCAAATGCTGCCCTTGCAAAAATAATGGCAACTTTGGATCTACTACATCTTTAGCTTTAAGGGCTTTAAGATCAGAATTAATTTTATTTGCACAGAAAGTGCTTGGTGCATAAGACCTGCTTTCTATCTATGGTATCAATGACTTATTTGAGCTTTTTCTCAGTGGCTCTTTCCTAGCTTTGGGATGTTTTATGCAATAAGTGGAGTTCTCAGAAATGCTATATTTATTAAACTTAGAGATTTTAAAAAGTTTTAAATCTTCATAGTGAGAATTGTTTAACTGTTTTTAATATGGTTTTAATAGTATCTTAAAACTTGTGATCATTGTTTAGTTTAAATTGTTGTAAGCTACCTTAGGTTCCCTGTGGGGAAAAATGTGGTAAGTAAATAAATAAATAAAATGAACCATTAGAACCCGGCTGTGAAAGCCTTCGCGAAAATAAAATGTTCTTGAAGGCTTTCATGGCAGGGATACGATGGTTGTTGTAGGTTTTTCGGGCTGTCTGGCCGTGTTCTGAAGGTTTTTCTTCCTAACGTTTCGCCAGTCTCTGTGGCCGGCATCTAGCTCCTGTCTTCTAAGATGATGGCCACAGAGAATGGTGAAACGTTAGTAAGAAAAACTCCTCTAAAGATGCTGACCACAGAGACTGGCGAAACATTAGGAAGAAAAACCTTGGGAACACGCCCAAGCATCCCAAAAACCTTACATCAACCAAATAAAATGTTGTTGGTTAAAAAATTAAGTATTCTCAAAAGAGAAAAAACACCAGTAGGGCAAAATGAAATTTGAGCTTAAACAGACGGATTCTAATAATTCTGCCTGCTTGACTCAGGTATTAACAGTTACAGATGGGAAGGTCTTGAAAAAAATGGAAAAATTGGGTGGGGGAGGGTTTTTTCCAATTTTTTAGAGTCGTTTTTGTTTTGGTTTTTTTCAGAGAAATTGAAAAAAATGTGGAATATGTTCTTTTATAATTATAGTGTCTAGGACATGATATTCAAACTATATAACATGATGATCTTAATGATAGACTTCTGGCACTTTATGGATTTAAGTTCTCTGAGAGATCCTATAGAACTCGTTGTTCACAACTAATAGCATTTTTAAAAGAGGAAAAAACAAAACAAAAGGATGTTGCGAAGTCGTTCGCGACCCAGGTCTGGCAAAGTGGGCTGAGAAAAACCACCTTTCCCCAAACCGTGATGAATCCTTTGGATGTCGCCCAAAAACCGTCTGGGCAACAACCAAAAAGCAGAACGGTTTGAGCAGGGAAAACATCGGTGTGGGATCCCGGTTCGCTGGATCCTTCCCCCCTCAGAACCAACGGGGCTGCTCCTCCTCTGCTGAAGGAAGCTGCCTGTCCTCCATCCAGATCGCCCTGCCTAGAAGGAAGGAAGGAAGGGGCGGCGGCGAGGCTTCTGGTGATCCAGGACCACGGTGGCTCTCACCTCCTGGGCCGCCACCACCACCCGCAGGACGCCGACGCCACCCCGCCGCCCTCCCCGGCTCTCACCGTGGCGTCCTGCCCGGCATAGTGGCTGATCAGGCGGGATCCCCCCGGGTGCCTCTTGTGGAACTGGCTGATGTCGTAGACCTTCCGGTCGATCACCAGCCACCGCTCCTGAAGGTAAGGATTCATCCGGCCGGTCCGCAGGGCGATCTCTTCCCAGGTGAAAAAACGGCGGGAACAGATCTGGCTCCCATTTATTGTTTTCTCCCCGACTCCCACTCCGGTATCCTGCAGCGGAGGAGCCATCCCCCGTTTCAGTCAGTCAGGAATCGCCGCCGCCACCACAGAACGAACGGCCTCCTTGAGGGAGCACCAACCTCCACCGACTGCCTTCTAAATCAAGTTTGGAAGGGTTGATTTTTTTTTTTAAGCCGGGAGAGTCCCCCTAAAGAGACAAGAGCGCTTCGGGACCTGATTGGCTCTTCGCGCTTTCGGGTAACGGCCATTGGCTACGAGTTGCTCTCTTCTTTAATTAGCGCGAGCTCCGGTTCCCAAGGGAAGCTTCCCCCCCAAGGGGGTTCCTTGGGTTTGTGTTCAGGGGACTCGCCCTTCCGAGGGCGTTGCGTCTCACGAGCGCTGCCTTGGGTTTTTCCTCTCCCTCCTCACCCTTTTCGGCCACTGAATGTGGAAGAACGGGAGTTGCTTCCAGCTGTTTCAAGCAGAGTTGGACATGGACGCTAAAGATCATCTGGCCCAGCCCACGTATGTCTCCGGGAATTCAGCGGCGAGGGCGGGGGAAACCTGCGTAGGGGCATGTTAGCATCGTTTGCAAGACATCGCATATGACTGTACACATTTAAAGAATAACAAGAACTGGGGTTCGGGTCGGCTCATTGGCCGGCCTGCCGCAGACACCAATGGCCCCGGCTCCTAGCTGTTAATGCAGGAAATAAACACGGGATCGATATCTGGTGGTCCAGTGACAGGGCTCTGCGGCTGGCTTAAAGTTTCTGCTGTGGCTCCAAATCAAATAGGTGTTTCGGGTTTAAAAAGCCCTACCAGTAAGTCTGTGGATGTGCACTGGTGGGATGAGTATGCAAACCACAGACGGACCAAATAATGGAATATTATATATACTGTACATAAATATAGTTTGTATAAAAGAATCAAATTAGGATTGTCTGTTTTATAATTCCACTGTTGTGCTCAAAAGTTTGTGTTCTTGTTTTTTTTCCGGCTACTTGTAAATTAAGGATTTTTCCTAGCTCATTATTTTGATATGGGGAATAAGATCATATCTATTAAAGCTTTTTCTGATAGGTATTTCGAATGTAATGCAAAACGTCTGGAGTCCATATAAGAAGTTAGCAATTGCTTGCAGTGGTCCCTGAGGGACTGCATCATTAGAGGCTGTACTTCAGCAATGCAGGCTACATGCAGGAAAGAAGTGATGCTTGGTGCCACAAAGAAGATGGTGACATGTAGAATCCTGCATCTTTTCAAACCTACAAAAAAGAGGAAATTTCTTCATGGAATAAAAGAGGTATAATGTAAGGATGCAAATGTTTTAGGTGGTTAAGCTTCTGAAACACATTTCCACATAAATTGTCAGCTTGGAAACCTTGCAGGTCTGCCTTGGAAACCCTTAGTGTTATATAGGATTCTGGAAAATGTTGTGAGGTTCACAGTTCATACACAACACTGCCTATGCTTGGTAGGTGTTATTTAAACCAATATTACAATTTAGAGATTTTTTTTCCTGAACCCACACATTTTAGGAGATTAATTCTGGTACACAGCAAAGTTCTTTGAAGAAAGCTTATCTGGCACTACTTACCAACTTTTAGCAACTCTAATAGGCCTTGCAAAGTGATATATTTAAGCTGTGATTTTAAGCAGAGCTTCCATGGGTATGTGGAGATTCAAACCCAGGCCTCTGGTCCTGAGTCTTAGTCCATCCCTCTGTCCATTACACCACACTGAGTATCTACTTATTTCATTAGGAGCGGCCAATGAGCTTCCAACAAAACATACAAGGTTTTCTTGGCTCACATCTGGGAAGTCACCAGTATAACTTGGTACACACTGTTCAAAAAAGTTTTTTTCTCCTTAACACAGATTGTTTAGAATGTTGTAGAAACATCTCTGAAAAAATGCCAAAACAAAGAGATTCCATATCTACCTTTACACATGTTTGCAAGGAAAGTCAGCAACATTGAAAGTGGCAAAGGATAGTCTAGGAAACATGCAGAGCTCTCTCTCTCTCTCTCTCTCTCTCTCTCATATGCATGTAGATCCTGGATGAAATACTCTTATGGTGGCTTCAGAGCAACTGTTTGCTATCTCATTTTCTTCTTTGATGAATGACACTGAGCATGTACAATTTCACACTTAACATTCACATAGCCCCACCAAGACTTCTCAACCATATATAGTTTAATAATAATAATAATGTACCGTCAAGTCAATTTTGACTTAAAGAATCACAGAATCATTGAGTTGGAAGAGACCTATAAGGCCATCAAGTCCAACCCTCCACTCAGTGAAGGAATCCAAATCACAGTAGATCTGACAGATGGCTGTCCAGTTTTCTCTTGAATTGGAGAATTCAGCCATTGGAGCAGTTATCATAGTGACTCTTTCCAGGGTTTTCTAGGTAGGAAGTACTCAGAAGTGGTTTACCATTCCTTTTTTCTGGGAATGTCCTGGGACTGTGCAGCTTGCCCATGACTACACAGGCTGGCTCTTCTTCCTGGAGGCACAATGGGGAATTGAACTCCCAAACGCTAGTTCTGCAGCCAGCTACTTAAACTACTAAGCTATCCAGTCATCCATATGTACTATACACACCTAAAATTATGGACAGCACTTTATCTAGCTGATGTAAGAAACTGTAATCCATGAATGGGCATGTCATTATGGCCCAAATCCGATTGCACGGCTCCAACTGTGTAGTAGGAGTAATGGCAGTGGCAGGGACATATTGCTGCTGATTGAAGACTTCCTTTTTCAATTTTTAGGTATGCAGAGTTTTAGTTAGCAGCAGTTTGCCACTGACAATGACACAATTCCCATTGCCTAGATGGAACCTGCTCAACAGGGTTTGGGCCAATAATTTCATTTCTTTTTAAGGCAACACAGCTCTTTGATGAGATTGCTACAAGAAACTAAGGACTCTTGTATACAGCAGATTTATATTCCTTTAAGTTCCTCATCAAGTGCATACATTTAACAGGATTTCTCTTGACAACCAGGTAACATTCCTTTTATCCCACCATGTAAAGGTACACCAATTTTTTTGCATGAATTCATGGATCTTTTTATCTCCCCCATTGGACTACCTCGCCTAGAGACATCACTCTCGCAAGCTTCTAGCAGGGTTCTTGCCCTCCCAAAGTCCTTCGAGATTTAAAAAGATTCATTTTGTTGGTTGTTGTTTTTCCAAAGTGGAGTAAGGCTGGCATGCTACAAAATGAAGTGCCAGCACCCAATGCCATCTTTATTTTCAGTTATGTTTCTAGAGGCATTCTTTGGATATAAAAATGCCCGATGACTACAGTTGAGCAGCTTTTGAAGAACACTCAAACATGTAGGAAAAAAGGCAAAGAAAGGGGGGAAAGTAAGCTTTTGTGGCTTGGAGAATCCTGACTGGGGGCCAGAGAGCATCTTGGGAGTTGACTGGAGCAATGTTTTGAATGTTGCCTAATACGTAGCTTTGTCTTGTTGTTTAATGTGGTCTTTGATTGGGGAATTTTTTTTTGTCATGGTGTGTTTGGCCTGATATGTTTTCTGTTGAAGCTGGGAAGGGGGTGATCGAACATGCATTTTGCTTGATGCCATGCATGTGAGCTATATGAAGTGCTTGAAGTGTGAATGTTTTGCCTATGTGTGTGCACTGCTGAACATTACCAGTTTGTCTTCTATAAAAATGAACATTTTGTTGTGCCTTATGAAATAAAATATCTGATTTGACATTTGGAGCTCTGGATTCGCCTTTGCCTTTTAAAATTTCTTGGCTAAGTTACATACATCTGAACCTTATCCACTTCTTTTCAAGGAAATACACAGGTATTGGAGCAGAATATTGTGGGTCCAAGACAGGTTTTATGCCTTGCAGTTCACCTTTGTTTTCAATGTATTTGTCAGGTTACTTTTCTTTCAAACCCATGGTTTTTTAATCTTGTGGGAATCTAATATCTTTATGAATGACCATGCTGTGGCAGCCATTTTGTACATAGCCAGTCTCTCAGGGCAGCCATTTTGTGAGAGGCTTCACATTACATTCCCAGTGAACTCACTGCCTGTTTTTAAACCCTTCATATTATGCAGAGGTATCAAGACCCCCACTGAAGCCCATAAACGTAGTGCAAAGAGTACTAACGTGCCATGTACTAACATAATTTAAATCAATGGCAAAATTATTATTTTTGCTAATTATAGTTCATTTCTAATGTGGGGTGGGGAGGCTGGGAGGAACTCCTATTTTGAACAGATTTTTCAATCAGTCAGATTCTCCCTCTTTAACAGAAGTTTATACCAAGTCCATTTACTTATTAGCATTTTTCCAAATCCTGCATTTCTATATCCCCTGCTATTGATCTGCTGTTTCCAAAATTTTGCATAAATCTTCCTTGAATTAGGTTTCTGCCCTAGGCTATGAATGTTATTATCATGAAGAATGACTCTCACTATTTTCTAACAACCTTTAAATGTTCAGGAAATGACAAAACATGTTTATGACCATAACGTCGGAATGTTCTGCTGTTGTTTTGCTTTTATTTCAAACACACCTAACCTCATATTCATCCAAATACTGTATCATGAATCCATTCTGAATTAAACATGTAGGAAAAAAGGCAAAGAAAGGGGGAAAAGTAAGCTTTTGTGGCTTGGAGAAGCAACCTTGTGGTAGGAGCAACCTTCTATGCCATTTTATTTATTCTGCCATTTCATCTTGTATATACACTTTAGAGGTTTGTGTTTCTGTATTAAAATCATATGTTTAAATTAGAGTTGCTAGTTCAGCCCCTCGCTGTCCCTGAAATTTCAGGACAGAAACTTGAGACCAACATGCAGGCCTTTCTGATATCACAGGGCCAGGCCTTCGTGCAGCAGATAATATCAGTGCATGAAGAGCTTATCTATACTTTTGTCTATGTGTTTGTTGTCCATAACTTTTAAAGATTTTTCGAGGAATAAAGTTGGAGCAGAGTAAGCAACATTCTGAACAGTTAATTGTTACTTTCATTTTCCATGTTCTGCAATCAAGACTGTCTAGTCTAGACTCATATTTTGAGGGTTACCAGTGTACAAAAAAGTGAAATTAGAGGCACTAATGCTGCATTCTCTAAAACTCTTAAAGGGTTACACAACAACTTGACCATTCATTTAGCTCTGCTATTGATCACAGCGGAATTTAAA